TTATATCCTAAAAACACATACTAAAAAAATCCTGTTTATATTACATTGGGTCTAGCTCTAGCACCATATTTTATTGGCCCTGCTAGCTGTTCTGTTCTGCATGCTCGTAGCTACAAAATAGATTAGAACTTTCATTATCTGGATCATGAGGACTTTAATTTAATTTAATGGTTGGTTTTTAAACACATTAATTACAATCCTTCTCATGCGTCAGTATTTTAACACGATGAATCAGACCTTTAGGCCCAAAGGTTCGACCCCAAACCTTAAGTGCTTGGGTGAGGTGATCGAAGTTTCGAGCTCTACTACCGTTGTAAACTCCACCAACAACGACCCAATGGCCGCGCGCCTTATTTGAGGAGGTGGAATGTTCACCCGGTCTGAGGATCGAATCTCCAGTTGCTAACAACTAATTCAAACTAACTTTTTAACCATTACCCTTATAAAAAAAAACTATATTTTAACACGAGACCTTCAACTTAATTCTTCTTAGCCGTTTTTCTTGAATTAAGTCTCGATTAGGAATGAATGACGATGACAATAGTTGATTAGTTGTTACTGTCTTGCAAGGCCTATTAGAGCCCAATTCCCACTTCATTTTTTCTAGTTGGAATTAAGCCACTCGGGACTGAACTCACTGATGGTTTGATTTGCTTGAATATGGGCCAGATTTTACAAGTAATCTAAAAAGCAACAAAAATACAAAGGGGCATATAGAGGTTAGTAGTTCTCTTGCTTTCAAACCTATTCCTCCGTTTGTTTGTTTTTTAATTCCTTTTGGTCTCTCTCTCTCTCTCTCTCCAGCCAGAGATGAGGAAAAGGTTAAGTCGAGTCCTTATTTGGTCTCCACATTTTATTGCATGGATCCTCGCTACACCCAAGAATTGGGGTGAATGTAGTGATGAGCAGAGTCAATTCGCTGAGGGGAGGCATTTTAAAAAGCAAAGTAATGAGAGGAAATTAGGGACAAAAAGAGGATTGAGGAAGAGAACGAAAATGGAATTTGAATGAAGGGGATGAAGGGGAGGAGGGTTTGATTTGAATAGGGGTTGGAGAGAAGTGAGAACCTTCTAGGTTTCATTTTAGGTCGATAAAGGAACCTCACCCCCCAAAGGATCATGTTTGGAACCGAATTGGTTAAAGAGAGCCCTGTTGACGACCACTTAAGATTTTTTCAAAATAAATTGAAAAATCAAGGGTGAAATATATAAGAAAAAAAAGGAGTCGCCACTCGTCCAAATTGTAAGGTGAGACAAGTCACCTAAAACGGGTCTGCGCAGAGATCGGGGTTCGGTTAGGAGTGAGGAAGGACATACGCGCACCTCACAATCCTCCGTTTAAACACGGTTGCATACTTTAAAATTGGGGGTTTTGAATCAACTTATTCATCATTTTTATGTTGAGTCTTAATAAGCAAACTTGAAAAAAAGAGATAAACCAAATCGAAACACTTTTTAATTTTTGGATTGAAAGAAACAAAATCAAAAATATGCATGCACAATAAACACAAGTAGAAATTAAAAGGGTCCAGTTTGATTAAATCCAAAAAACATAAAGGATTGATATGACTAAATTTAAAACATGAAGGACTGATTTGAAAAGAGTTGAGACCCATGGATTAAATTGCTTAATCATGAAACTTTTGAGTAAAATTGAAATAAAATAAAAGATGACTTT